GTGCCGGCCCCACGAGGCAACCGGGCCCCACGGAGCGGGCGGCTGGTAGTGCGCCGCGGGCGGCGCGGCGGCCCACACGACAGGCAAGCTGCGGCCGTAGTGCGCCCTCGGCTGCGGGTGGTGCAACGGTGGCTCTGAGCGGCGCTCTTCCTGCGCAAGTCCCGACCTCGGCGACGACTCGGCCGGCAGCGGCGCGCTGGGGAGGAGAGGTAGGGGTGCGGCGGAGGGAGCGCCGCTCGCGCCTCTCTCCTCCCCCACGCGGGGCTGCGGGCGCGGCAGGAGCGCAGCGGCCGCCAGCGTCGCTTCCAGGCGGAGCCTCTCCACGCCCGAGTCGCCCTGCGCAGCGGCCTTTTGAGCGTGCCGCTGGGCCTCGCCGCCAGCACCGGCCTCCCCCTTTGCCGAGGCGGGCTCCTCGCCTGCAGAGCAGCCGGCGGGCCCCACAACCGCCTGCCGAGCGCCGATGTCTGGCTGGGCGCCGCTCGGCTCACGAGCGTCGCTCGGCTCCACCCACGAGGCCAGCCCCTGGGCGAGCAGCTTTGGCACGTTGTGGAAGCGCTCGAAGCCGTCGTCGTAGATGACCCGCTGCCAGCCGGTGCCCGCCGACAGGCCGCCACAAGTCCCCGCCCACCACGCGCGCGCCGGTGGGGCGCAAACCTTGGCGGCGGCGGGAGCGGCGGTGGGTGAGCCGATACCAGGCACCTTGCACTTCCCGCCCTTCCCGCCGTGCTTGAACCCGCGGATGCAGCCCTCCGTCAGGATGCAAGGGCCGAGCCCCCCTGCTGCCCACTGCTTCTTTGGTGACGCTGGCGACGGCAGCGACGGCTGCGCCTGCGCCTGCTGCAGCAGCTCCAGCGCCTGCGCCTGCTGCTGCTCCTTGAGCTTCTGCTGCTGCTCCTTGAGCTGCTGCTGCAGCACCTGCTGCCGTGCGCCGGGGCAAGCGGCGTCCGCCACCCAAATGCGCCGGCTGGCGTGCGGCGCCGGTAGCCCATGCTCATCGCACCACTCCCAAGTCGGCTGCAGCGGGATTGGCCTGCCGTCCGCCGCCTGCAGCGGCGCGTTCGGCGTGGAGTGCGGCTCGCGGAGCAGCTTGAAGGCCGCCTTCCACTTGCCGCTTCGGTTCAGCAAGTTCGACAGCCGGTGCACGGAGAATAGCGAGCCGTAGGGCGAGTCGGGGCAGAGGAGCAGCCCGCCGCGCGCCTCGTCGAGCGAGATGACTCGGGCACGCACGTCGCCGAGCGGCAAGCCCAACTCGTTGCCCTCGCGGGTGCAGCGCACCTTGACAGAAGCGCCGGCCGGGAAGTGCCACAGCAGCTGGCGCGCTCCCTCGGCGACCGACAGCGGGGCGATCTGTTCCGCCCACTCGGCGGCGAACTGGAGAGCTGCCTCGCGGCACGGAAAGAAGAGGGACGGCTGCGCGGGGTCCGGGCTCGGAAGCTCGCACGGCACCACCGCCGCAGACCCGCCGTAGAGCGCCTGGTGCCGCTGCAGCGCCAAACCCTGCGGCGGGCGGCCAAGTGGGCTGCGGCGGCTGTCGCCCTTGGGCCCGCTGCCTCCGTGCGGCGTGCTGGGCGACAGCGGTCCGCCGTCTGCCGCGACGGGCTCCCTCGGCGATGCCGGCTGCGCCGACTTGGAGGTGCCGGCTGCCGTGGCGGCGGGCCGCAGCTCGCCGGCGGCAGCTCGTCCGGAGGGGCCGGCGCCGTTAGCCTCGGGAAGCCGCCAGGCTGGTCGTCCGGCGCAGTGGGCTGGCGGCTTCGGCGAGGGTGGAGCCTTGGCGCTGCTGCCCTTGCCGCCCGCCTTGCCGACGCTGCCGCCCGCCTTTTGTCGCTTTGCAGCGGCCGCCGCGTGCTGGTGCCACGTCATCCAGGAGCCGTCGGGGCGCCAGAACCAGCACGGCCGCAGCGAGCCGCTCTCGATGCCCTCCGCGGAGAGAGAGTGCGAGGCGGCGCCCAACTCGTACGTCACGCGCACGCCGCCGCGAGGCAGGAGCGCCGTGACGCCAACCTCCCACCAGCCGCCCTCGTGCCGCAGGTCGACGCGGTCCCCCTTCCGCAGCCCCGCGAGCGAGGGGGCGGGCGGAGGCATTGGTCGCACGCGGCTGACGGGCCACCACTCGCGCAGGCGGCGGTGCGGCGGCGGCGGCTCGTCGCTCTCCGGGTCCGTCGGGCCCTCGTCGTCGTACAGCTCGAGGATGGCGACCTGGACCTGCGAGCCGCGCACACGCACAACCTCGGCCTCGTACCACGAGCCGAAGAAGCCCTCCTCGCGCCCCCACAGCTCGACGCGCCGCCCCACCTCTAGGCTCTCGCGCGTCGCCGCCTCCGCCGCCCGCTTCTTCGCGCCGGGCTTCTCGACGCCGGAAGAGCTCGCCGGAGCGAACGCGCTCAGCAGGGCGGTCGCGCGCGCAGCCGCCAGCCCGCGCGCGGCAGCCTCCGCCTCGTCGCCGGCGCTCCTCGGCGCCTCGTCGAGAGGGACCCACTCCCACGACGCCCCGGAGCCAACCCACACGCAAGGGCCGCGGCGAGCAGGCGCGGCGGACTCTGCCGAGCTCGCGGGAGTGAGGGCCGGAGGAGGAGAGTCGTGGCTCGGGCGTGGCCGGCTGGTGCGACGCAGGCGCGCGTCCGGAAGGGCGGAGGAGCATTTCCCGCCGCGACCGCCGTGCCGAAAGCCGCGCACGCAGAGCGGGTTGCGCTCGCACTGCCCCAGGGCAGGCTTTGGCGAGAAGTCTGCGCAGGTGGCGGCCGCCGTGGGCGGGGCTGCGGCTGCGTCGGAGCCCTCCTCCGGCTCGTCATCACCGCCGGGCGGGGGGGCGGCGGAGGAGGAGGAAGCAGGTGATGGGGAGGGAGCGGCGGCAGCCGCGGCAGCCGCGGCATCGGCGGCTCTGGCGGCACTGGCGGCGGCCGCTCGTCATCACCGCCGGGCGGGGGGGCGGCGGAGGAGGAGGAAGCAGGTGATGGGGAGGGAGCGGCGGCAGCCGCGGCAGCCGCGGCATCGGCGGCTCTGGCGGCACTGGCGGCGGCGGCGGCGGCGGCGGCGGCTGAAGCGGCGGTGGCGTTGGCATTGGCTGCGGCGGCGGCGGCGGCGGCGGCACCGCCGCCCCTCGACTTTGGTTTGGCGGCATCGCGCGCCACAGGGCCCAGCGGCACAGGGTCGAGGCTGACGCAGAGGCCCATCCCAGGCGCGTACCCGACCGCCGTGCCGAGCATCACTCGCCGCGCTCCGCCACCGGACGAGGCGTCCCACACCCGCACGCGCAGGCCGGACACCTCTCGCGGCGCGGCGCCTCGCAGTGCGGGCGGCGCGCTCGAGCCCTCGTGCGAGCCCGCCCTCACCCTGCTCTCCTCCTCCTCCTTCTTCTCCCCATCGCCGCCCACCTCGCGGCAGCCGGCGCCATCGCCGTCCGCCAGGCTCCCCTCGGCGCGCCACTGGCCAGCCTCCCAGACCCACGCCGGCCGCAGCATGGGGGCGCGCACCTCGCCACCCACCTCCGGGTGCCGCTCGCTCGCGACGCAGTAGCGGCTCTCGCGCGCGGCGGGGCTCCTCTCCTGCGCACCGCCCTCGCCAGCTGCTGCGCCGCCCTCGCCAGCTGCTGCGCCGCCCTCGCCAGCTGCTGCGCCGCCCTCGCCAGTTGCTGCACTCTCGCCAGCTGCGCCGCCCTCCCCCTCCACGCCCTCGCCCTCGCCGCCCGGCGCCTCGGCGGTGCCGGCGGCCGGAAGCACTCCCCGCAGCTCCACCTCCCACCACGCGCCCTCGAAGCGGAGCTGGAGCCGGCTGCCAACCGTCGCGGGGGAGAGGAAGGAGGGCGGCGGCGGCGGCGGCCGTGGCCGGAGGTCGGCCACAGGCACCCGCGTGCGCAGCAGCAGCAGCTTGCCCGCCGAGTACGGCCCCGCGCTGACAGCCAGCCGGCTCTTGACCACCGCCGTCACCGCCGCCCCGCCTGCCGACGCCGCGGCGCCCTCCGCGTCGAGGAGAGAGAGGAGCTCGCCGGAGCACCACGCGCCGGACGCGTCCGAGAACTCGACCTCGCTCCCCAGCTGCACCCAGTCGGGAGAGGGCGCGGCGCAGCTCGAGGGTGAAGAAGGCGGCAGCGCCGCCGCCGCCGCCGCCAGCGCTGCCGCCGCCGCGGGTTCCGGTTCCGCTGAGGGCGCCGGGGCTGGCATTGCCGCCTCCGCCCCCGAGACATTCGTCTCTGCCTCGGGCGCTCCTGCGCCGAGAGCGTCTGGCTCGCGGTCCATCACCAGAGGCGGCGAGGTTGGTACAAAGCGAGAGTCGTCGGCGAGCGCCTCATCCAAGGTGCGCGCTTCCCTCCAGGTCGCGATGGGCGCCTCGCCGTCGGGGTTGAGCAGCCAGGCGGGCCGCAGCTCGTCTTCGCCAACCACATGCACGGTGCCGCTCGACTCGCGCACGGTGAAGATCCAGCCGGTGGCAGCACCGGCACTCGAGCTCGACGCCTCCGCAGAACCCTCCGACCTCCGCCGCCCTTCTATGCGCGCGAGCCAGAAGCCGCCGCCGCGAGCAACGTGGACGGGCGCGCCATCCTGGATCGACGCCGCCCACCCGTGCGAGGCTGAAGGCGGCATCTGCCGAACACACTGTGACGGCGCCCACGCTTGGATCGGTGCTCCGTCTGCCTCGGTGTGATAGCGCAAGAGCACCTTTTTGTTGCGCTCGTCGCGCCTTACCGCAGTGGCGCAGAACCAGCCGCCCTGGAAGACGCCGTCCCACTGCCGCACCTCGATGTCGATGGACATAGTCTGGCCCACACACAGAGCAGGTCAGCGAGTCACAGCGCCCTGATTGGAAAAAAGAATTTGAACATCCGGGTTGTCTGTTTTCTTTCTTTCTTTTGTCCCTGAAAATCCCTGTGTGGTGGCGGCGTGCCGTCCTCCCATCCCTCCCTTGGCCCGTCTGTTTTCTTTCTTTCTTTCTGTCCCTGATCGTCCTTACAAGATCCTGCTCGCGCAGGTGGGGACCCTGTCCTTCTCCCACCCCTTGTTTGGTGTGTCCGTTTTATTTATTTTATTTATAGCAGACAGGCTCGACACAGGTGCGAACTGGCGCGTGCTAGCACTATCACAGATTGGGAAAAAGAAAATGCATGCGTTTATTTGAGCTTTGCCTCTGGCACTGTGCGTGCGTCGTTGACTTCTTGTTCGTTCACTTGTAGTAGGTTAGGTTAGGTAGGAAGGTGAAGAACAGATGAACAGTCAGGCCTGGACTGGACACCACAGGCACAGCGCGGTATGGGTGGACGCGAGACAAACAAACAACAAATCTCTCTCGCGAGACAGAAGAGTGATAACCAATATAAGAGTGAAGACGACGACACGCACGAGCGACACACAGACACACAAACTCACCAGGTGGAGGACACTCAGGTCTCAGCCAGGCTGGGCTGCCACACATCCTGCGTGAGCGTACGGCACTATACGCCACTCGGTGCCACGTCCCCTCTGTGCACTTGGGGCAGAGCCAGGTCAGTCACAACAGGACACTGAAAAAAAGAAAAGACAGCGTTTCTTGCGAAGCCCGCATCAGCTGATCTCTGTCGCTCGCCCGCGCGTTGGTGTGATCTGTGATCTGTAAGGGTCCGCCCGCAGGCGCATTTTGTATACCGAGGCGGTGCCCGGTGCCGAGCGCAGGCAGAGCCCACAGGTCGGACCTTAAGACAGCGTTGTAGATCCCTGGGCGAGGGTGGTGGAGGGGGGGGTCCGGCGGCGGAGCAACCACCTCCTCCCGGCGTGCCGGGAGGCAAGATGTCATCCCCCGTGATCCCGACCGCCCCGTCGGGGGTAGACCGCTCGTCTAGCTATAGCCGATCAGCCTTAAGCGAGCGGTCTGGCCGTTGGAATGGCCGAGGTTGGTGGACTTGCGTCCTCGCATCGATCGTGGTTACTACAAGTACAAGTAAGTAGCGTTATGAACAGAACACCCACCATGAACCACGTTCATCGGGAAGGGGGAGGTCTGGGACCTGCCTATTCGCCCGGCATGCGAGGGCATGCGCGGCCTTTCGGAGCCCCCTTCCTCTGTCGGCTTAGTACGGTTGGTCGGCGCGTCTCCGTCTGAAATCATCTCTAGGCTTCCGTGCACCGTGGCGGGCCCTCTCCTTCTCCTGTCGCAGGAGGTGGTGGAGAATGACCTCCAGACTGACCCGGAGAATCACCTCCACCCAGCCCCACCTCAGCACCCCTATTATCACACTCTCCCCCCCCCCCCCCCACAGTGACGAATAGTCTACCTATATCCCTATATTCCCACACCCTGTGCAGTGGCACGTCACGCCACCTAGATCCCTAATATTGGCACCTCCGTCGGGCGCCGAATAGGCGCCCAAATATTGGCACGTAATAGTCTCCCGACTGCTTCTCGTGGGGCCGCCGCGCCGCGAGACAGTCGACCTCTTTGTGTCATGTGACACACACAACCCGGTGTCGCACGACGCCATTCCCTTTAACCACTCGGATACGAGTTCCTTATACCTTATACCAATCTACAGTCGTCTGAGACGGCACCCGGATCGAGGATGGCTTTGCAGCCTCACCCGCGATCACCAGTACCGCAGAGCCTTGCACGCGGCTCTGCACTCACACCTGCTGGGCACCAACCTTTGGGTCCAGATGACTATCCCTCTATTGAAGAGGGAAGAGGGACGCCTCATGAGCCTACGGAGGGCCTCGACCCGTCTTCTTGCTGGTCAGACCACTCTGATCCCTTCCACACCACGTTGGGCAGGCTTGGTGTGGCAACACCGAGCCCAAGGGCGGCATCGATGTACTTGACAAGTCATCGCCGCCTGGCTCCGTTGGGGAGGGGGCTATGCCAGCTGGAATGCCTTCTGCCAGGCTGCCGGCGAGCTCTCCTCCGACGGAAGCCTCACCAGACCCGGAAGGGTGTGGCTTGACCGTGGCAGCGATCAGGCCACTTGCAGTGAACTCGCAGCGGGACGCAACGATACGAATCAACAGAACTTGGACGAACACCCGACGAGGCTTTGGGCGCGCGGGAACCTGCCCAGAACCTCGGTGTATCACCATTGCCTCTGCTGACCGCCGCAGGGCAGCCACCAGCACCAGTGCCGCTGCCGCAGTCAGGCGCGCCCGGTACTGCACACGCCTCCCCCTCGCCGGGGGATGGAGCCTGCAGGGGAGGGAGCACGGAGGCAGTTTTTTCGCCTGTCGAGCCGCCAGTTGGGCCGGCAGCCGACGCTTCGCTTACCTCTCCGGTTACGGATGATGTCGCGGCCGGGACCGCTACCGCCGCCGCTGTTGTGCCAGTTTCAGCTATCGACTTCCTCAGCTCCTGTTTGTCGTTCACCTGGACCTTTTCGGACATGATCTCGGGCAACCGGGAACATTTCCAAAGCATCATCGACGAGGTGGCGAGGAGGCCATGGTGCCCCGGCGGCTTATTCAACATTGGGAGCGGCGTATACTTGCGCATGCAAGCGCTGCTGGACGAGCTGTGTGACACAACCCCGAAGCATCTCGATGGTTTGTGCGAGCAGCTGGGCCAAGACGAGGATCTAAGCGGGCTGCATCGGGAAGACGTTCTAGATGGGTATTGGATGACGGCGCACTTCCACCCCCTCTGGGCGCTCTACGGTGAATTCCTCAAGCTTTTTCCCTCAGCCGTCCGTCCAGCTGCCGCGGCTAAGCTCAAGGCTGAGCTCGACGTCGTGCTCGAAGTCGTTCTCGGAGCTACCTCGGCTCGCGCGGCCTCCTCGTCGCCGCCTTCGCCCGTTTCGCTTCTCGCGCCACCGTCCGGCGAACCAGCCGTCTCACGCGACCTTCATGCGTCGCCTGGTGACGCGGCTGCCACCGCAGCCGTTGGCAAGGCAGGCGGCACCTTCAACGCCGACTCTGCTGACAAGGAGGTGAGCACCGCCTTAACCTTCGAGATCCTCGGCAGGGATACGCCAGCATGGCTGGTCCGTGACGTCGAGCAGCTTATGAAGGAGAGCTTCGACGAGTGGCCCGCTACGCTATTGGAGTACCGCCGCGGCTACCGCGCGCTCGTCGCGTTGAACGAGCAGAAGGAGCTCCTCGCTGCATGCTGGTTTGTTAGGCATCTCAGCTACCTCTTCTGCCCGGCATTTGCGACTCGTCGCGAGTTCCGGGGCCAGGGCATCGGCGAGGAGATGATGGCCGAACTCAAGTCGATGGCCGACGGTGTGCGCCACTCCCCCAAACGGTGCTACAGCAAACGGTGCCACTCCAACGGTGCGAATAAGTGCCACGCCCCAGCCATCCAAGCTACCAGGCAAGCTACAGGCACAGGGCTGACAGGGTTACCCATATCAGAGCGCCATCCAAGCTACCTACGCGGCTACAGGCACAGGGCTGACAGGGTTATCCATATCAGAGCGCCACCCAGGCTACCAGGCACAGAGAGTGCCAAGCTACCAGGCTCAAACTACAAGCTACCAGTCTACCAGGCCACCAGCCACGAGATGGATACACCAGCCCTCCGGGGTGTGAATAATACCGGTGGTTCAACTCAACGCCAGTTGGTATCATACAAACAAGTTCGACTCAGACAGCTCCTGACACAGCCTCTGACGGCCCCCCTCCCCGACTCAGACAGCTCCTGACACAGCCTCTGACGGCCCCCCTCCCCGGGGGAATGGCTACCCAGCTGTCGCAGGAGGTGGTGGAGAATGACCTCCAGACTGACCCGGAGAATCACCTCCACCCAGCCCCACCTCAGCACCCCTATTATCACACTCTCCCCCCCCCCCACAGTGACGAATAGTCTACCTATATCCCTATATTCCCACACCCTGTGCAGTGGCACGTCACGCCACCTAGATCCCTAATATTGGCACCTCCGTCGGGCGCCGAATAGGCGCCCAAATATTGGCACGTAATAGTCTCCCGACTGCTTCTCGTGGGGCCGCCGCGCCGCGAGACAGTCGACCTCTTTGTGTCATGTGACACACACAACCCGGTGTCGCACGACGCCATTCCCTTTAACCACTCGGATACGAGTTCCTTATACCTTATACCAATCTACAGTCGTCTGAGACGGCACCCGGATCGAGGATGGCTTTGCAGCCTCACCCGCGGGTGAAATTCTCAAAAAGGTGCAGCACTTCTAGCCGACATCGACAAAAGTCCCTCTCTAGCCCCGCGGCGAGCGGCCCCGCCGGAGGCGAAGAAAATTTCGCCATCTAGCGCTCGCAACACATAGATTTGTGCATAAATCAACACCTCCAATCTTCGGGGGAGTGACGGATAAAGGCGTGCGAAAGAGCTATGAATCCGAAAGCAGCGAATCCAAGTGATGGCCCGCCGCAGGCGAAGAAAATTTAGGGTTGGGGTTCCCCTATGCCAAAGAACTCTGAGAGGATTTCGGCGGCCGGCGCCGAGCACAGCGGTTCGCGCTGCCTGCTCGCGCTGGTTACACCGTTGCTGTGGCCGTCTTCGTCCGTATTGTACACCGAGCTGGCGCCACAGCAGAGTACAACAACGGCTCGGACGAACTGCTCCACGGTACTACATCATCAGAGGGCCCGGCAAGGTCCACGGCGGAGCTGGCGGTGGTGGGAGTGGTGGTAGGAACGAAGGCGCACCTGTCGGCGATTCACCGCCGTTCGTTCCCGTCTCTCAAAGCTGGTTACACCGTCGATGCGCACATCGAGGCGCTCGTGGACGAGAGAGACGTCGCCTCCTCTTTCGTCCCGGGGCACTGTTCACGCCGGAAGGCCCCGTACACTGCCAAGTACATTAGCCTTCATCTCTCCTACCGCCGGCCGGGAGTGCAGCCGCCACCAGTGAGATTGTCCTCGACGTTGGCACCTGCGAAGTAATGAACAACAGGCAGTGCGTCATATGGCGCTATGATAGCCCTGCGGTGGACGTCCTCGACGCAGACGAGGCGGAGCTCATCTGCGCGGCGCAGATCGCCGACTGTCTCTCCCTCCCTGCGCGAGTGGTTGCACCACCCTGGATGAGGCATCTGGGCTGGGGCAGGGCCGTTAGTAGAGGAGGGCGACTGAGGGCGCGAGGCCGCCAATCGTCAAAGTCTGCTGCGACTGACTGTCGGTCACTGACTGAGCAATGAGCAATCGCATCGGCGGTTTCACTCACGCTCACAATCGGGTTACATCCAGGTCTCTGTGCGGGATGTGCTGGGGGGCTGCCCCCCAGTCGATTGCCGCATAGTTCGTCGATGTAACCCTACCAGAAAGCTGTATTCACACCTACCCTTCCAAAAAAAGAAATGTCCCTGCTTTTGTCGAAGATCCGGCGGGTTTATCGGAGCATCACCCCCGCGATCACCAGTACCGCAGAGCCTTGCACGCGGCTCTGCACTCACACCTGCTGGGCACCAACCTTTGGGTCCAGATGACTATCCCTCTATTGAAGAGGGAAGAGGGACGCCTCATGAGCCTACGGAGGGCCTCGACCCGTCTTCTTGCTGGTCAGACCACTCTGATCCCTTCCACATCTCCGCTGGCGCTCCCGCTTTCTCTGCGCTTTCGTCATCGGCTCCTCGCCCTCGTGATGCTGCTGGTTCGCCCCCTCCCCCTGGCTCATCGAATCGCTACGTTCGTTCTCAAATCGCCCCCGCGCGCTTCCTCGGCGGCCTGTGGGAGTGGGACGCCGCCGCGCGCCTCGTGGTCGTGCAGCTTGGCCGTTCCTCCCGCGTCCACGTCCATCGCGCGTTGGTGTGCATAAACACGATTAGCCGTAACGCGAAGGTTATAGGTTTCGTGTTGGCCGTCTTAGGTCTTAAGTCTTGGCTTTTTTCACAGCTTTCTGTCGCTGTCGCTTTCGCTCCTCGTCCTGACCGCTCAGGTTTTGATCAGCTGACCTCGGTCTAGACCTTGGTCCCTGTTCCCGACGCCTCCCGCGACGCGACGCTGGGGGTAGGAATACGTACACACACACACACAAACCCGCAGGCGGCGGCGGCCTGCTCGGCGGTGCCGGGCGCATGGCCCCCGGCTTCACCCCGGGAGGGTGGGTGCGGTGGAGAGCCTGAGCCCGCTCCGAGGCATGTGCATGAACTTGTACTTGATCGTGTGCTCGTCCCGCCAGCCTGCTGAGATGTTGCCCTGCTCCACCTCCTTCCGGAAGTGGTCGTTGGAGAGCACGCGCACGGGGTAGTCGCCCTCCGCCTCGTACCGCGTCGCGAACTCGAGGAAGAAGTGGTCGTCGCTCGCCATCGACGGCGTGAGCTCGAGCATGGGAGAGCCGTCCTGCCGCAGGGAGAGCCCGCGCGGTGAGGGCCGCGCGGGGGCGGCCGAGGCGCGCGCGGGGGGCGCGCTCCGAGTTGCGCTTCTCCGCGAGGGCGATCAGGTCGTTGAAGCCGTACGCTCGCCTGTCTGGCGTGCCTGGCCTCGGTGCCTCGACAACCTGCGGCCGCCGGCCCGGAGAGAGGTGTCGGGGGCGTCGGGCGGCGCGGCGAAGGGCGGGCGCGGAGCTGGACGGCCGCCGGCGCGCACCCACTGGGGAAGAAAGACCTTGACGTCGTGCCCCTTGGCCATCACGTCGTTGACGGACTGCAGGATCGCTTGCCCGCAGATTGGCTTCTTCCACAGCGGCCCCGACGCAGAGATCTCCGCCGCGGGCACGAGCGGGCTCTTCCAGCCGACCGAGCCGTGCGCCCGCCCGACGTTGAGCCCGTCGATGATGACCATCCACTTCTCGTACCTATCCACACCCGCAGCGCGTCGACACCTCTTCACACCCCCCGAGCGAGGACCCTCCTCTTGGCGCACGGCGGAGGCGTGCGGGCGCGAGCGGGCGCGGCGGCTCGAGAGGGCGCAGGCGCGGGAGGCGCCCGCCGCGGCGCCGGCTGCCGTCGCGTCACCTCGCTCCACCCGCCCCCGCCCCCTCCCGCCGCCGCGCCGCCGCCGCCGCCAAAGGCGGAGGCGGAGGCCGAGGCGCTCCTGGTGTCTGCACCTGGCTGCGGCTCCCTCGGAACGCCTTGGTTGGCGCGCGGCTCCTCCTGCTCCTCCTGCAGCGACGCCGCGAGCTGTGCGTCCCACTCCTCGCCCGCCGCCTCGCCTTCCGCCGCACTCTCCTCCTTCGCAATCAGCTCCGCCGCAAACGCGTGGTCCGCCTCCTCCTGCGCTCGCCGCCTCTCCGCCTCCTCGCGGCCGCCGCCCGACTCGTCCTCCTCTCTCTGCAGCGAAAGTGCGACGAGGGCGTCAAGGTCCAGCGGCGCCGCCCTCTCCTCGTCGAGCGCCGCCGCCGCCCTCTCCTCGTCGCGCCTCGCCCTCGCCGCCTCGTCCGTCGCAAACATCTCCGCCACGAGCGCCTGGTCCGCCTCCTCCTGCTGACGGACCTGCTGCCGCCGCCTCTCCTCCGCCTCGCGCTCCTCGCGCTCGAGCCGGCTCGCCAGCTCCAGCGCCTCGGCCTCGTCCGCCGCCTCTGCCGCCTCCAGCGCCTCTCGCAGCTCCCTCTGCTCCCGCTCACTCTGCGACTCCACCGCTCCGCCGCTGCTCGAGGCTGCGCCGGCGGCGGCGGTGGCGGCGGCGGCGGCGGTGTTGTTGTTGTTGTTGGCGGCGGCGGCGGCGGCGGCGTCGGGATCGGCCGCCGGGTCGCTGAGGCTGAGGGCGAGGGCGTGGTCGAGCTCCTGCCGCTCGCGCTCACTGTCGTCGTAACCCGCGGCCACGGCCGGGCCTGCGTCCTGCATGCTGGCCGCCAGCGCCGCCGCGAGGGCAGCGTCTTCGTCGAGCGGCCCGGGCTGCTCCATGCTCTGCAGCAGGGCCTGCTGTAAGCTCTCGTCTTCAGCGGTCTGGGCGCCGCCCTCGGCGCCGTCCGCAAGAGCGCCAAAGCGCGAGGGCGGACCCGGGCTCTCGAGCGAAAGGGCGAGCGCTTGAGCGAGTTCCGTGTCCTGTGTGTCCTCCGCGTCCTCACCCGCCTCTCCTCCTCGCCGCGCCTCGTCCTGGATGGCAGCCATTGAGGAGCGAACAGCCAACAGCCCGAGAAAGGTGTTTGCGCGGCTAGGACTGTCAAGAGAGGGGCCGGGGCGCGGTTTTTCTTTTTTCTTTTTTCAGTTGATCAACTGAAAAAAGAAAAGGCACGGCACTTGAGATCTCCAACGTCTTCGACAAGCGTCGACTGAGTGGAAGGAGCGGCTGCGGTCTTAGCCAGCGCACCGAGGGTCCTAGCCCGCTGGGCCTTGTGACTCTGTGAACAATGCTCTTCCCCGCCGTCTTCCACATCGCGGTGGTCCAGCCGTCGCTGACGGCCCTCCACCCGTCGGCGCCTCGCGCGGCCGCGCCGCGCATGATTGGCCCCCAGCCGTACCGGTCGGCAGAGGAGCGAAGGATGGCCCGCGAAGACGCACGGCGCGGCATGGTTCCAGGCTTTCGGGGCCCGCAGCCACGTCCTGGCCCTCGCGGGCGCGGGCGTGGCATGCCACAGGGCCCTCCGCCGGACTTCTACGAGCCGCCACCTCGGTACGTCCCAGGCCCTCGTGGCCCGGTGGCAGGGCCGATGCCGGGCCGCGGCCAGGCGGGAGGGCCGATGCCAGGGCGCGGCCCCGCGGCGAGGGACAGGGAGTACGACACCTTTTCGCAGCAGCCTCCAGGCCCTCAGGCTGGGCCGCGGCGGTCGTACCGGCAGCCGCCACCAGTCGACGCAGAGCGGCGGCACAAGTCGCCCGGGCTGCGCAACAACTTTTACGACCTCCCCACCGCCGACTTCAAGAGGCCGCACGGCGTCCCGCCGCCCGACCCCCCTCCTCCTGCGGCAGAGGGAGGCGCGGCGGGCAGCGGGCAGCCGGCCGGCAGCGGGTACCAGGCAGAGCCGCACTGGGAGAAGAGCAGCTTCGGGCAGCAGAGCAGCTACACGCAGTCGGGCGCGGGGTACGGCCAGCCGAGCGCGGGGTACGGCCGTGCGAGCGACGAGGCCCCTCTGGTCGCGGGGAAAGAGTAGGGCGAGCGTCCTTCCTTCTGATCTTATCGCTATCGCTTAGGTCCCTCTCCCCGGCCGCGAGAAGGAGTACGAGGACCACCTGGCGGGGCAGGTGCCCGGCCGAGGAGCCCCCTCCTTATCGTGTGCACCGGCCGAGTAGGACTACTCCCCTCTCCATTCTTCTCGTGACTCGTCCGGCGCGGGGCAGGTGGTCGACGCGCAGGGCGAGAGCGTCGAGCGGCTCGAGGGGATGGGTGCGCGGGTGGCGCTGCCGCCAGAGGCGGGCGGGGACGAGGAGGAGGAGGAGGACATCACTTGGGACGCGCTGGCGGGCGCCGAGGAGACGCGGCTGCAGGTGGAGGAGGCGCTGCTCCTGCCGCTGCAGCACCCCGAGGCCTTCGCGGCGGTGCGAGCCGGCACCCGCACCCTCACCACCAAGGGCGACCGCGCGGGCACGCTGCTCTTCTACGGCACCGCGCCCCACAAGCAAGGGGTGGCGGCGCGGACCCTTCCCTGACCCTTCCCGGAGCCTCGCCGCAGGCCCGCCCGGGACCGGAAAGACGACGGCGGCGCGCATCGCCGCCGCGTCGGCGGGCCTCCCTCTCGTGTACGTCCCGCTCGAGGCACTGATGTCGAAGTGGTACGGAAAGGCAGCGCAGCAGCCTCCCTGCCCCTCCCCCCTCTCGACGGGCGGCGGCGGGTGCCTGAGCCGCCTCGGAGCGTCGCTGTAGGCGGAGCAGCAGCTCGCTGCCCTCTTCGACGAGTGCGGACGGCTCGGCCGGCGCGTCGCCCTCCTCGATGCATCCCCGCACACGCCCCCTCCCCTCCCCCCCTCGCCGAGCATCCGCCCGCCTCTCTGCCCGCGCTCTTCTGCCCGCAGGTGCGTCATTCTCATTTATCTTTCACGTGGGGTCACCTCGCGCTCTTCTACCCGCAGGTGCGTCCTCTTCCTCGACGAGCTGGACGCGCTCGCCGGCTCGCGCTCGCGCGAGAATGCCGAAGGGTTCCGCCGCAAGTCTCCCTGGCCTGTTGCGCGGCTCCACGGATTTTACCTCCCAAAAAGGCAGGGAGTCTCACTCCCCGCGACCAACGGGGCCATGGATCCTTAAATTC